CAGGAAGTGCTTAAAGTAGGACAAAAGGGCTTAACATGTTGGTCACTCCTTGGAAATCAACATGTTTTTCAGTTTTGACCATCTTGGTCTCGTGCACGTGTATCAGCCTGAAATGAACTATCAAAAGCTGCAGCTTGGCAAACCTTAGTTGAATGATGTTGAATGACACTGGGAAGCACGAATCATGTCCAGCACGCAGCTCCATGCCGCATGTCCAGCGGATTGCGCCCAGCTGTCGCTGACTTGGTTGCGACTTGCACCGGATAAACCGCCTATCACTGGTGGAAGCGTCCTTTTGGGTGACCAAGCTGGCCATCCCACGAGGCGCTATGGGACGGCCGGAGCTGCCGTAGTGCTCTGGCAGGTATCCTTTTCTTGAGATGTGCCGTAGCATGTGACAGAAGAATTCATTTGCCAGCTGAAGCTAAGACTGCAAGACTGCAAAGACGACTTTTGGCCTGGGTTCCAAGATGATGTCAAGAGCAATCAGCCTGCAATGTTCCCAACATGTTCCAGCACCAGTACATCTTGTGTAAGTTCCTCGGCACGTCCGCGACTCTCCCAAATTTCATTCTGTTGCAATTGGTTTGGGGTCCAGCAAAGTAGTTTTCAAGTGTTTTGTTGGGTAGGTGCGGACTCCTGCTGCTTTCAGCATGCTCCTTTTGGCAAGATTGTGCGTTTCTCAAAACACAGTTCTTTGCTTCAGCTTGGCAGCTTTTCAGCCCAGCCTGGAAACAAAGCCCATCCAGTTCCTCATCTTAGGATTGGTTCATCCTGGGAATGCATTCCCAGGTGTCATCGTCCAAGTTTCCCAGATACATTCGCAGAATTGCGCGGATACGCTGTACGCTGTTATGTTTTGCCTAGTGTTTTTGAAGGCGTTGTGATGAAATGGCACGGATACACGGATTTGTGATGAATGGGAGTCTCTTAATCGGTGATGATATTGCTCATGTAGATGTCGTTGTGCTGCCTCCAGAGCTAACATAACACTCACAGCAGCTGCCGCTGGCCACTGCCGAAATCACGCCTGGGCCAATTGCAGAATGGGGGAGCCAGCCTCCGTTAATGAGAGGCTCCCAACAGCACACCTACGATGAACGTGCTGACGATTCCTCCAAAAACATTTGACGAGAAGTTCATATCAAGAACAGGCTATCCTGAGACCCTTTGGTTACCCTGGTTTGCTTTGCCCAATGCCTTGGAGTATAATATGGAGAATCGGAGGCTCGTGCTTCAGAATCAGGAACATGCCCAACGCAGAAAGATCCGACCAGATGAATAGAAAGAATTGCAAAAAGTAACAGCCCCAGTTTTGCTGGCCCTTTTCTCAGACATCGTTCTGACCAAGTTTTGGATGACCTCGCATGACCTCGCCAGCTTTTGTTCCCAAGGAGCTGATTTCAACCGACCTTCGTAAAGAATGAACCCTGGATGGCTTCTCTTCCCCAAGAACTAAGAGACATCCCCGGTCCCCCAAAACGCAGGGTTTCGACTTCCAGTTGGAGACAATTGCAAAAGCTATTTGGAGCGAGTCTGGTGCAAGGAAGGCAAGTGAAGCTCTTTTTTCAATTCTTGACTTGGCATTGCCAAGTTCCATTTTCCGCTGCTTATTCGTTTGGCAGATCGTGCACTATTGACTGCCTTTGTGACCAGCCGTGCGCAACACGAGCAATACCTTATTCTTTCCAAACCGCAGCGGGGCCAACTAGCCAGGCATGCTGCACTTGCATTGTTGACATGGCAAAGGCAATGTCTAGAGCCCCTGTCAAAAAATATAACAGAACAGCTTCCAATTCCAAGGTTTGTCAGGCTCCTGCTTCAGCATGAAGCTTAAGGTGGCAGTCAGACATGATGCACACTGAAGACGTTCAACTGAAATCCCAGCAAGTATGAATTTGTTCCGTGCCCTGTTTGGGAGAGATGCGTGTGATGTAGTGGCAGACATGGCCACAGCCTCCAGCATCCACAAGACGATTCATCACATTTCGCCACAACACCCGGCAAGCCGAGCACAAACACAAGAAGCATTGACAGCACGAGAGGTGCGCTCAACCGGTGGTTTTCAGGCAAATTCCGCGACCGGTGCGAAAACCGCGAGCGAACCGCTCCCGGTGTCGGTGCAAAAACCGCTGTCGGGTCGCCGAAAGTGCCTTCCCCCCTACGCTTTCGGAGGGTGCAGAGCAAACGATCGAATGTTCAGGTGCAGAGCATGCTGCATGTAGAACATGACTTTTTCACATGCCTGACGCTTTGTCCGAAAAGTAAAGATAGGCTCGGCAGACCCTCGGACGGGAACGATAAGGACCAGAATGAACAAGTTCAAGCTAAGATAACAAGCACGGCACACGTGTGTGCGGGTCGTAGGTTGCATGGACCTCGCTGTAGATTCAAGAGAAGAAAGCAAGCTCTATAGTAAGTCCTTCAGCCCATTCAGGCCATCCGGTTTGAGCAGCAGGCAGTCTGGCAAATCGGGTAAGGGGTAAGCACGAGCTGCCTTTTTCATCGTCACAAGCTGCCTTTTTGTTTTCGAGCCTTTAGGGTCTTCTTGTGCCTGCTGCGACCAAGACCAAAGGCGCCAGGGCGCAGCAAGGTCGCAGGCGCAGTGCCGGTGGAGCCTGGTGAACTACTGGACTTCAAAGGAATGAAGTAGGTGCAGTCGGTGCCACAGCCACAGCTGGCTGCCGTTTGGAGGACCTGGCGTTGGCTGATTTGGGGTCGAAAAAGCAACTTTTGGGTTGCTTCGGTCGGTGCGCGAACCAAGTTCAAGAGCATATTTATTTCCTCACACGCCAGCCAGCATATGCCAGCATGGGAAGGTAAGAAGTATTTTCACACATGATCACAGCCTAAAGATAGCATCCTGAAGCAGGTAGCCTGTAACCCACTGATGGCACACAGAAGTTCAAGGGAAAGTGGAGGCACTCTGGAACGGATCCCGGAAGAAGTAAAGCGAAGCTCTTTGCGGCTTCAGTCAAATAAACAATGACATGCGGCTTCTTAAAATGCGGCGATATAGCTTTGACATCCGTCATTGGTAGCCAAACCAATCACATTCTTTGCGCTCCTGAAGGGATCCCAAGCCGACTTCTCAAGAGACCCCAAGTCCCAAATTCAGGCCGTTAGGAGGATGAAGGCTCCGAAGGCATTCAGGGCGAAGCATGAAGAAGTCTGCCCTTCAGGCCGAGCTGGAAAAAAACCATCGAGCCACAGTCGTGGCATCGGAGCTGGGGTTCGCGACGCACGTTGTTCGCGAGACCGATCGCTGGCGACCGGACAAGCACCAAGTGTGGAGTAACACGCACCACCGGTCTTGGCTCCACTGACTGCGACCGTCAGGCAATGGACAGTCCATAATGGTCAGTTGGACAGCCCGGTGGGTCACACACTCGTCGTTGACCAGCCGTTTTGCGACTACAGGCCGCAGCAGGCACTGCCAGTGTGAACCTGCGGTGTTTGCTGCAACACAAGGTGTGGTGGTAGGTGTAAAGAGAGTGCCGTTGGTGTAGGGGCCAAGTGTTTTTGCTTGCTCGACTCAACTACTCTGATGCCCACACAATAGGGGCTGTTTGCACTGCGGAGCAACACGATCATTTTGCCGTCTTTCTGATGCACAGAGATTGATGCGATTCGAATCTTAGGTGAGGACCTTTCGACCTTGAGCCATGCCGCGTGTGTCGGCAAATCTAGACCAAAAAAAAAAAAGTATAAGTGATAGCCGATAGCAACTCGCGCTGAGCAGATGCAGGAGCTTAAAGTTCTCACTCAGGGCTCGGGAGCCTGCAATGCTTATCGCTTGTCCCTTGAAGCTCACTACATTGCCAATGAGCCCATCATGGATTGTCGCAAGTGATTGTGCCGCAGAGTGCTTGTGTCATGACTTAGTTTAAGGTTCTGACGCCATGCTCCTGCGCCGGCTGCAGGCCAAAGCTCGGTTGCCCCTTCCAAGTTCTGCTGGAGGTTTGCGCACCAACATAAGACTCACCCTTCAACGCACCAAACATTGACAGTCTAGCAACCCTCGCTGGTGATAGTGACACGCCGCAAGTATGTCCTGGCCTTCCTTCCGCTCCCCTACACTGTTCCAAATGGTGACTTCGCTGCCTGTGCGGGTGCCAAAGCCGCCAGGCGTGCGCCAGTGATGCGATTTCGATCCAACTAAGTGCCACATGTCAAAATGTTGCGCACCTTGACCCTAAAGGACTTGGGATGATCTAGGTTTGTCAAAAACGGGCCTGATGGACCAGAGACGATCTAGCACTGTGTGGACTTCGCTCCGTCAACGATGGCTCCAATTCCGGGCGCCGTCTCCGTTCTCGTGGGAAAAAACGCGTGAGTGTTGGGGTTTGGGGAATGGCAGGGGCCGCATGAGGTTAGGAAACCAAAATGGCTCGACTATATACTCTTCTAGGGGTTTGGGTTGCCAGGATGCAACTGAAGCCGCGCATCGCTGCTCCGCACCTCACAATGTCCTAAGCTGTATGAAGTCGGAGCTGCATGGGGCTGCAACTTCTCTGCTGGAAAAGCTGGCTACCCCAAAAATGTGGCTTGACCAACAGTTCAACCATGTTCAACCTACCGTGGTGAATTTCCTGAGGTTCCTGCATCCTCAAAAAACGTGCATGTCGAAATCGGTCGAAGACTATTTTTCCTTTTAGAAGTGGTCGTGTCGAAGTCCGAGTCTTTCCAGACCCCAGGTATTTTCGAGCAAGAAACGATGTTCGAACAAAAAGGGTTGAAAGGATGTTATTAAAAATCGGATGTTTTGTTGCAACCCTGGAGACGCTGTGCAGCAAGGTTTTATAGTATCAGTCCATATCCTGTCCTATCTTGTCCTATCCTATCCTATCCTATAATACTATATGCAGTAGCTTTTGCCTTCACAACGTGTTTTGTCATCCAGTCCTTTGCTTCAGGATTTGAAGGCGACAATTACCACATGTTTCACCTTTTCAATCGTTCCAAACGCCCCCCCAGCCGCCACCTGCGCGCAAGCTAAGGGCTGCTCTCCAGGAGCTCTTGCAGCAAAAGTACCAGACGCCACTCAATGAGCTGCTGAGGTACAGCGCCAGCATGGAAGATGGGGGTTGGATTGCCCAGGTGGGGTCCCGCCCTGTTTCATAGACTCCTCGAATCCCGGCCTCCACAGTCAGGATCAGGACCTAGCTTTGCAGTTCTTTGAGGGTGTCTGTTGTCTAGGAAGGAATCTGCGTTGACCAGGTCCATGGTCTAGGAGTCCACGGTCTTGAAAGCTCTTTGAGAATCACTTCTTGCCAATTTGGATTTTCCAGATGGCTGCGATTTTGGTTTGGAGACGATCTTGTCTTGTTTGGCACTCGATGCGCGGTCCGTCGCGTAAGAAACCCAGTTTCTTCATCGCTAGCGGCACTCAACCCTTCCAGGTCACCGTCTCAGCTGAGAAGGAGTTCTCTCAAACGAGCCACGTGTGTCGGACAAAGAAGGAGGCCGAACAAGAGGTGGGCGGGCCGGACGGACTCCAATTCGGGTGATTTGGAGACCATCCCTTCACCCCACAGGCTGAAGAATAGATTGAACACACTCTGACACTTGTATTCAGTGAACTCAGTTACCACGTTGGGAAG